AGGGACAGCGTTAAGGGACGAGAGACAAACGGTGCTGTTGCTGTGCTGCCTCAAGCTGGGAGGTGCGCGTGGTCAAGCGGAGCGGGGAGAACTAGTCTTTCTTCAAGTCCCTGGATTCAAAAAGCTTCAGGCGTTCTTGCACAGTCAGGCCTTCCTTCAGACTCTGGGAGAAAAGGCAGGCAGCGTCGGGCGCGGGCGGGCGGGCACCCAGCGCACGGAGAGGGTGCGATGCTCAGGCAAAGGAGACGTGGGCAGCGGGAGAATGGCCTCCTTGGCAGAGAGATTAGTGGGACATGCTAAGAGAAAAGACATGGTTATGGAGGGCGGTTACTGCTGAATGGCGCCTAGAGAGAGGGTGAGATTGCGAACGGACCAGGCGACGGACCAGAAGCACATGAGAGGCACACCATGCCGCAAGCGGGATCAGCTCAACTTGAAAATGACCCCCGGGGTCTGCGGTGCAGCGGGGGCTGGGGCAATTTCAGCGGAGCTCCAGCACTGTGGGAGCCCTGGGAAGGTCAGCTCGGATCTGCTAACGCACCGCGCTGCTGAGCAGGACCTGCACGCCGACCCTCCCCATGCCACGGCAGCACCGAGCGAGCGCGCGTCCGCCTGGGGCGGTCCTGGCTCCGGTCAACGTGCAGGTTTTGCTCAAGCAGCTCTGAAAACTCCATTTTTTTTGTTGCCAGCGACAATCCCACCCTTTCTCTAACCCCAGCCTGGGGGCTCTCCCAAGCCGAAGCTGCCTCTACTGCACAGGGTTAGACAGAGGACTTGCTAAGTGCTCGCTGCAGGTCTAGCAGGATCCGATGGCTGATCCAACTCAGATGCAGCATCGAGATTTCAAGGCACGACACTCAGCTAGCCAACAGAAAAGCCCACCCCGCTAGCCCTCAGCATTTGAATTTGTGAATTGTACCCTTGCTTATGTGTGGGAACCCAGCAGAACAGCAACGTGAGGGGCAGAGACCCAGAAGCAAATTGCTTTGCCCCCTCTAAGACAGCTTTAACCCGAAACTAGCCCGAGGAGACGCGTGAGCCTGAAGCCATCCTTCCCTCCTCCCTGCAGCCCCGCAGCTGCGGCGCAGGAGCTTCAGGGGAGCAGAGCACCGGTGGGTTTTCCCTGCCTGCTGCTGCTGAGGAGGCACAGCCATCTCCCTCACCGTGAGCCGTGCCCGCAGAGCTACGGCTCTGCCCCTACGCGCTGTGGAGGCTTTCACTGCCGGGCTGCTCCTGCTCGGGGACAGGCAGCTGCCTGCACGCAACCGCTGCCTGGGAGCCCCTGCCTTACAACTTGCAAGGAATCCACTCTGCAGCTGGAACATTATTTGCTTCACAGACCAAGACGTGGCGGCTTCAAAAGGCGCAGCCCTGAATGCGAAGCCCCTCCTAGGAACGGGCAGCCATCTCCCCTCTGCTTCCCCGGCCAGGGGACTGCGCAGTCACAGCAGCAGGTTAGGCTCTGGGGCTGGGTTTTGTTCAACGTGTGTTTATCAAGGCAGGACTCCATGATAAACTTGGCCCGAGGCTGCGCAGATTTCCATGGTTACGGTATTTCTGTGAACGTTTCTCCTCCCACAGGCCCGCAAACACAGCAAGGCTTTGGGAAGCGGCACGGGAAGGAAGGCGCTGAAACGGAGCGGTCCGAGTTCACAGATGCCGTATGCTTTCTTTTCAACAGGCAGCAGGGTCTCTCGGGACGCGGGTCTCTGAGCACACGTTTCCTAAAGGAAGTTGACTTTGGGCCTCTAACTGGGCAGCAACCCCTGCATTCCAGTTTGTGCAGCCGATTTCTCATTAGAAGGAAGGAGGCAACAGAAGCCATTTGACTGCTCTGCCTGATGGTACAAATTTCAGCAAATTCACCCCTTGGGCAGCCTCACAACCCATCTGAGCTGCTGGCGAGGGGAGCCTGATGAAGGGAGACCAATGTAGGATGAAATCTGTGATTAAAGGATCCTCCTCCTGATTTTCTGGGGCTCTCCAGCCACCCCTCTGCCACCATACTGGGGAGCTCCCCTCTTTTCTCTAACCTCCCTTGCAGGTGCTCTCGCCTCAGCCTTTACCACGGGCCAGTAAATTCACTATTGCTCCAGTGACTCGAGGTATCTGGGTCATTAGGATCGGCCTCGTTTCTCGTCAGCTCCCTCTTTTTGCTGGGTGAGCTCGGAAGCCTTGGGCCAGTGTGTGGGATGAAGGCGCGGTGCCAAGGGATGGAGAGCAGCGGGGTGGACACCGGGGAGCTGGAGGAAGCCTGGAGAGCAGGAGGAGGTTACTGGGCAAGGAAGAGTCTTTTGCTCAGGCACGGCTCAGCCTAAAGAAATGGCAATTACGGGTGAAGGAAATTCAGGGCAGCCCAGGAGATCCCCTCTGGAGGTGAGATGGGGGCCACCACTTCACACTCTACAGGCCCTCACGGCAAATGCATTTCTAGGCATCACTGACCCGCTCCTCCGCCTGGCCAACTGCAAACTGGCTGTTTTTCCTACAAGACCTGGACGTTGCTGGAGTTTAGTCTGAGGCATGCAGAGTCATTCAAGCATGCACACTCAGCGTCCCGCGCTCCCAACACAGCAAACAGGAAAACGTGTCCCACCGCGTCCCAGTCCTCTCCGTGACGGTGAGCTGTGTTGGCGAGGGTGGGAGGAGCAGGAAGGCGAGAAAGCCCCATTTCCCAGGGAAGAGCCAGAGAGATTGCATCTCGTACGGACTGTGGGTCCGCTGACTTCTCCCCTCCCTTTCCCCCTCCCCCAGGAAAATAATTAGCCACAAATAAACCAGTCAGTCATTAAGAGAAGAAGGGCTCTCGTGTGCCACGGAGGTGTGAGCAGTGCATGCAAAAGTGGGCTGCTCCAGCGGGCAGCTGCGTTGCTTGGTGGGTGCCGGTTTGTTTACCTACGTGGCAGGGAACCTGGACTCGGGTTCATTTCAGTTATCCCATGAGACCTGCTCAATAACGGACTGTTGAAGGAGAAAGCAAAATAAACAAAACAAAACAAGAAGCTGATCAATCCGAAATGCATTGGCGTTCGCGCAGCCCCAGCCCCCCGGCCCGGCAGCGATGCGAGCGGGCAGCGCACCCAGGAAAAGCCCATGCTTGCTCTCCTCTCCTCCTTCCCCCACCAAGCAACACACGCTGGGGACCACAAGACAAATGGTCTGAGTTGAAGTGGTGAAGGGAAACCCAGCATCAGACCTGGCCCAGCAGCTCTGGGCTGCCCCCGAAATGCCCAGAGACGCTCTCTGCATTTTACCGGGTGCAGCGCAGACGCCCCAAGCTGAGGGCCTCCCGCTCGCAGAGCTCGGGTGCTGACTGTTTCCCCAGCACGGGCACCGAGCTAGAAGCCTTCTGCCTGCCCAGCTTCTTGCTCTGCCCGAGGTCCCAACCACTTCAAACATCAGCACAAGACACCAGGTACACAGTGGTGAGAGGCAAAGCAGGTTTTGCCCACGCTAGCCTTCCTTCCAACTGACCTACGTTTAACGGTGACCTCTCAGCGGCTTTATTTGCCCTTTTTATCCCTGTGGTCCCAGCGCGTAGCACGATGGAGCTCTGACAGTCAGCAGGCCAAGCAGGCGAGCTTGGCAGAGCATCCCGGGGCTCTGGGACCAACAGCGAGTATAGAACGGCCGGAGAAATACAGGGCCATCTGCACCACGTTAACACACAAGCGAGACGTGTGTTAACTACGCCCAGGACCAGGGAATCGTTCTTCCAAATAAAGACCAAAAATCTTGCAGTGATGAACACTGCAAAACCTAGAATGACATGCGCATTTCCGCCTATCGACACCACCTAAATGTCAGCTGAAAATGGGGAGCAAACACTGGGAGAGTCCTCCTGGGAAAGACCAAACAACAGGGTGAACTGAATTCATCATTTTTTTTAAGCGGGGAGCATCTTCCCACCTGGATCTCCGCAGGGCCAGGCGCGTGTGCCCTGCCGGGCAGCCCAGCCAGCCGTCTCCCAGTCAAAAGCTCACTTTTCTCCCCAGTGCCATCCAGGCTAGCGCTAGCAACTGGGAAATTCTCCGTTTTCTTCCTCTATCAGTTTCTTCCCACCTGGGACCTCCACCAGCGAGGAATGCTGGGCATTGTCATCACGGGGAAGGAGATCTGAGCTCACCTTTGACCTGATATTCCTTAGTTGCCGGCTAACACTGGATCTGTCTTTCTTCAAGAAATCAGGGTTGCTTTTTGATTTCATAATATCTGGGGAGAAGTGAAAAAAACAGCGTTAGTGTGGTGCCCGTGGGCTTGCTGTGTGGAGCAGGGCTGGGGCTCCTCCACCCTCCCAGCCCAGGCAAGCGCCCCGACGAGCCCGACTCCAGCAGTGCTGCTGGGAGGGCAGCGGGGACTCTCGGGGGTCTGCGCTCCCCTGCGCCACGGGCAGCATGAGGCTTTCCCAACGGAAGATGCCAGAAGGCTTTCAAAGCCCGCCAGCTTCCCAGCCGCGGGGCTGGAAGGAGGAACGGCAATCCAGGTCCGCCTGGTCCCTGCCATCTCCGGTGAGACTGTCTCCATGGAGCAGAGCTGGGAAGCAGCACGAAATGGCAAAAAAGCACCACTCCAGACTGGTTTCTGCACCAGGGATTGTACGCTAGGATGCACGCGTTAGCTCGGGAGAACCCACGGTCGCTTAGAACCGCTGGAGGAGGACTGACCATATCCCGATACAGTGGTGTTCACAGGGGACTTCTCTCCCTGAGCTTCTGTGGCTGCTTTCAGCTGCTCTTTCAACCTGCTGATATCACAGTCTGCCTTGGCCTTCACGATGCTCAGCTCCGTGTAGATGTCCTTGTACTTGTCGCTGGCGTATTTCTTATCCTGGCAAAGGAACAAGAAGAACGCAAGGGAGTCAGGCGCAGAGCTGGAGCCGAGGGGGCTGCGAACGCGCTGAAGGGCAGCTTGGCAAACGCTGGCGAAGAGCCGGCGGCGGGGAGAAACGCTCAGCCGGGACAACGCACGCGTTTCACACACGCTTTCGAAGCTCCGTCTCGCAGCGACACAGCAATTGAGACAGGCAGAAAGCTGGGAGCCCGGCGGCGAGCGTACAGCCCTGCCCGTGCACGCAGCCCCTTCGTTACAGGATTACTTGTCTGTGGGTTTTAATTTTAGCAAAGACAGGGAATTCAAGCAGAATTCCCAGAAATGGTCTTGGCAAAGAGGCCGTCCGGAGCAAACCAGATCTGATGCTGGGAGGCTGGGCAGACCTCTAACACTGATTACTTTTGTCATTTCAAATCTGATCTGATGTGGCAGGAAGCAGGGAAGAACACCGGAGGGGATGTTCTCCCACAAGACGGCAGAAGGCGTAAGTCCTGAGCTGATACAGTCATGGGGTGCTTTACTGATGACACCAAAATGGGTATTCAGTTCCATTCAGGGGAAAAATTAAACGTTGTTTGAAATGTGGGGATAAGTGAGCTGAAATCTAAGCACACCACACACCCCGAGGAGCAGAGCACAGCCCGGCAGAGGATTTGCAGAAATGTCCCTGGGCATTACCCTCAGTGCCGTCTGCAGCTCGTCTTTGAGGGAGCTGATCTCCTGCTTCAGGTACTGGATTTCTGATTCTTTGACCCGCAGCAGGACCTGTGGGAGCAAAAGCAGCACGTGTTCACACTCGAGGAGATGCAGCATGGCCCCGAGGTGCCCACTGCGCCCGGTGACAACCGAGTCAGGGCTGGAGGCTCAGCCCTGCGTCGGCTCCGCGCCAGCACCACAAAGCTGTCTTCTGGTTCATGCCAGCAAATGACTCCGGCATCTCGTGGGACCTGGACTGAGCTTGCACCGCTGATGTGCTCCCTGCACACCCCTCGGTTTCTGTTAGACCCCACTGCTTTGCAGAGACTGCACCCCTGGGGACAAGCAGGGGATGGCGAAGGAAGAGCG